GTGTGTGGCATTTGCATGTTCATTCTGAGAGTGTGGAGGTTGCATGTTATTTTTGTGCATGTGGAGTTTGCACATTCTTTCTGGATGTGTGTAGTTTGCATGTTCTGCATGTGAAATTTGCATGTTCTTTCTGCATGTGTGGTGTTTGCATGTTCATTCCACGTCTGGAGTTTGCATGTTCTTTCTGCATGTATGGAGTTTGCATGTTGCTTCTGCATGTGTGCTGTTTGCGTGTTTTTTGTGTGTGGCATTTGCATGTTCATTCTGAGAGTGCATGGTACTTTTGTGTGTATATAGTTTGCATGTTCTTTCTGAATGTTTGAAGTTTATATGTTCTTTATGCATGCATGGAGTTGGCATGTTCTTTCTGAGTGTGTGGAGCATGTATGTTCTTACTACTTGTGTGGAGTTTGCACATTCTTTTTGCATGTCTTTCTGCATTATTTCAGTGTTTGTGTTGCTGTCCTCTGGATGTTCCATTTTCCACCCAGAGTCTAAAAACATGTATAAATGTGAATTGTCGATCCTATCGTTCCTTTAGGGTCTGTATTTGTGTACTACAATGGACTGGCATCATATTCCAATTACTCTTTCATGGTCCTTGTGCTTCTTGGAATAGGCTATAGTCTCACTCTAACCATGTACAACTCCGGGAGCCAGGAATCCAAACAGACGGATTTATTAGGGGAAACCAAGGGGAATAGAGGACAAACAGCAAGAAATTTCAATGACGGATCTGGGGTTACAGACTCTGACGTGGACTTAAATACACCAGACGAATCGAACTGACAGAAAACAGCTGGTCACAATCGGGGATGCACACGTGGTAATGAGGGGGTGTGGCACACGGAAGGATCGTACGAGCAGGTCATGTCAGAACCCCCCCCCCCCCCAAAGGCGCACAAACTGGAGACGAGACTGGAAACAGCACAGGACCTGGGGAAAACAAAACCAAGAACATTAACGAGGGAACAGTACGGACACACAAAACAGGCACAAGGGAAAAAACCAGGACAAAATCTGACACAGAACAGGAAACGCAGAGGGGAAGCCACGGCAGGCGATGGTGCAGCTGAAGCTGGCAAAGGCGCCGTCCACCGACGGTCAGGCAGTCTGGGACCTCGAACAGAGCAGGAGGCGTGGGCAAAGCTGGGACCTCGGATGGAGCAGGAGGCGGCGCTGTTAGGACCTCGGGGATAAACAAGTCAGGACCGGGCAGAACAGGCGGGTCAGGACAGAGCAGCACCGGTGGGTCAGGACAGGGCTGCACAGGCAGAGCAGGTAAGACAGGCAGGACTGGCAGGGCAAACACAGGTTGAGCAGGCACGTCACAAATATCAGACGCAGTGGCCAGGATTGGCACCTTAGGGGCTGGTGTTGCCCCTTTAAGGGCCCTAGGGATCCGGAGGATGGCATCCCCTACTGACCTTTAAAAGGGTTAGGGTTAGGGTTAGGGTTAGGGTGACACGATATCTGCTTCCTGGAAAGGGACGTGCTGTGGGCAGCAATGCAAAAGCCGACCACAGGAACGCAGCAGCGGCGACGGGCAGAACAGGAGGAGGGGTCGGGACTGCTGGAGGCCGGACGGGAACGGACGGGGTCGACACCTCCGGAGGTCCGCAGGGCTGAACTGACAGAAAACAGCTGGTCACAATCGGGGATGCACACGTGGTAATGAGGGGGCGTGTCACACAGAAGGATCGTACTAGCATTTGTTTCTAGCCCCAGAGACCATTTGTATTTAGCCCTGCGGACCTCCGGAGGTGTCGACCCGTCCGTTCCCATCCGGCCTCCAGCCCATTCATGTTTGTTAGCCTGTCACTGAGAGGACTTCCTTTTGATACAGGGACTCTTACGTTGCATTTTAAAGTCACATGATTATGACCAAACAAAGGAGCTAAAAGCTGGTAACAGAAAAGTACTGGTGTGCGTGTAGAAAAGGCATTTTGTGTTGTGGGGACATCCAGGTCAGACATAAATGTCTTTCATATTCATATTTATATCTACTTATTACTGTTTTCTTGAGGAATTTCAACTCAGCATATGTCCCATAGATCATATAGCTGAAGATGACAATAAAAGTGCTTTGACATCCCCACAATGTCTAATAACAATAATGGCACTTTTATTGATCCCTGTGGGGAAATTCCCTTTTTTCTTACCTCAGCTTGCTCTCCAGGTCACACACGCAGTTGAGAGTAAGCTTGGCAGTGAAGGGCAGCCACCTGCAGCAGCGCCTATGGAGCTGGGGGTTAAGGGCCTCGCTCGAGGGCCCCATGTGACTATTCTGCTGAGGCTGGACAGGAACCTTCCGATCACAAGCACAGAGGCTTTGCCCACTGAGCCACAAGCGCCACCTATTGTGTAGGGCTTATTATCCGAGTTAAGTTATTTTTCTGTAGAATGCCCCCTCCAGGCTTGATAACATGGCCTCCACACACACACAAACACACACATGTCGGGTATACCTATCCTTATGAAAGGGCTCATTCACTTCTATGGGAAAAATGCTAACGCTAACTATGACAACCTTAAGCCCCACCCAGCCCTAACCATAACCATAAGTAACCAAGCAAAATACAAGAGTTTTTGCATTTTTAGTTTTTTCATAGTGTTACGGGCCGTAAGTAAAGTACGTGCTGTAAGGAATATACGTGCCATAAGTTTCGGAAGAATGCCTGCAGGTTCTCCGGACGTCCTGCCCACTCGCCCATTCATCAGGCGCTCCTTCGACTCCACCTTCTGGACCTGGCCCCGCCTCCCTCGCCTTCGGAGCAGTTTCCGGTTCGCCGACAGAAGAGGCCACCGCTCTGTCACTTCGCCTGCTTGTTGTTCGCTTCTCGTCTTTTAGTTCGCTCTTCGTTCGCTTTGCCTTTGTATGATTGCTCGTGTATGACTGTTTTTGTTCCCGATTTTCGATTCTCGCCTCATCCCTTTTTGTACCTTTGCCCTGGTTTTGACAGCTTGCTTGGTTTTGGAAGTTTCCCCTGTACTTTGACTTTGCCTCTTTGATACCCCCTTTTTATACCTTCACTTTGGCTGTGTGTGTTTACGTGTTTCACTAGGTGTGCAAGGGTGACTGCCTTTTTGTTTTTCCGTGTCGTGGGGATTACTGTTTGTTTGGTTAGGAAGTTTAGGCTTAGGCATTGATGTTTCAATTACACCTTTTGGTTTTCAGATAGGCTTAATTTAGAGTGGGTATTCTGCCTTTCATAGGGAAGCTTTGGATTGGGTTTAATTTCTATTTATGTTGATGTAGCTTGGGAGGGGCTGCCACCTTGTGGACATTTGCGTGAATGTAATTCCTCTGTACTTCCCGGTCTAGTAAAACGTACACACAACGATCACAATTATGGACGCAGCTGAACACTGGCGAACTCCCGTCTTAAGCGCTTAAGCCCCGGACATTATTTGTCTGTAAGTTGACGTTTATGTTGGATTGTTATTCCTTAGTCAAAATACGATAAATTCCGTAGTTTTTTTTGTTTTTGAAGGGTGTGTGAGCCACAGCGTCCCATATCACGTTTGATTATTAACATTGGTGACAGTGATTGTAAATCAGTATAATGCAAACCATGGTCTCCAAAAATGGACTTGATTTTTTCAGATCTGGTTCTCAACTCATTCTCACCTACCTCAAAGTCTCGGTCTTAACTTGGTCCCGACCCCCCCAAGGTCTTGTTCTTTACTCAGACTTTACCCTTCAAGGTCTTGTTGTATCTTACACTCACCTCAATGAGAATTAATTCTCCAGAGCCAAGATTCGAACAACAGGTTCCTTTTATTAGTTTTGCAATACGCTAACACAGGTAACAACCTCTCTCCGGTTCGCTCTCCTACCCCTCTCTGTTGGCAGGCAATCCTCATATACCACCCCACCTCAGCCAATTACCAAACAGGTCAGAGGTCAACCAAATAATAGTTTACAATTTAAAATCCCGCTTTTCCTTTTGTGTGTGTGCACATACACCACAGGTCTCAGTCATGAATCAGGCTTGATACAGCTGGTCTCCCCCCATCATTGGTTATCCTTGCCGTTCTCTCTTAACATTGTGCTGCTAGTACAAAACTTTAAGGCCTTTTACATACTTTATTTGGTTGACATTTGCTTTATTGAAAATAGTCACATTATGTTTCATAAAACAACAAAAGGAAAACTAGTAGCTAAACATCCGCCGCAGAGCCTGTGATGTAAGAGCCACCTTACTGTGCTTTTTGCAGCTGTTACATTCTTTATTTCTTCTTGTTGAAAGAACATACAGTGCCTTGAAAAAGTATTCTTACCCCTTGAGCTTTTCCACATATTGTCATGTCACAACCACAGATTTAAATGTATTTTAATGGGATTTTTTGTGATAGACCAATACAAAGTAGGGCATAATTGTGAAGTGGGAAGAAAATGATACATGGATTTCAAAATGTTTCACAAATAAAATTCTGATAAGTGTGGCGTGCATTTGTATTCGCCCCCCCGAGTAAGCCTTTCAAAACTGTACATTTCTGAAACAATTTAAACACAATGAATAAACTAACATATAATGATACTAAGTATAATACAAAAAATACAAAATATAAACATACAGTACTGTGCAAAAGTCTTAGGCAGGCAAAGATAATGATGTTTAGATTATCCTCGTGTTGGTGTAAAACTATGACATTATGCCTGTCAAAGTGTGTCAGC